TTCCCGTGGACTCGTGACCTGGGGCAGGAATTAATTGTACAAGACCAGCTGGGAATGCCGTGTACCAACAGCAGTCCACCTCAGAGGCCAGAGTGTGTCAGTCCAAGGGACTCAACTAGGGAGATGCCCACTGGCTACAGACAGCGCAATGTGAGCCTCAGCACGACTGTAAGGCTAGTAATTGCATTGGATACAAATACACCAAATATGTTTAAATCCGTGAGTTTATAATAATGTTGGATAGAAAACTGAGCCACCTACATGGGGAGGAGACTAGTGAGCCGATGCACTGTTTCAAACGCTGGTAAATAGAAGGAAAGAACAGAGCACTTATCCCGCCTCTTCTGTGTAATAATCTCAACCACTGAGTCGCCGAATCGTAGACGAGGGGAAGTTTTCCTTTCTCAAGGTGTTCCAGCTAATGCATGAAGATGGAATGATCACCGTAGTGCATGGCCAGCTCCAACCTCTGGTGAATTTAATGGGTCAGCAGCCGCCAGCATCACCGACCGAGACCCCCGAGCTTGCTTGCCTCCTGTTAGATGGTAGCACTGCCTGCGAACTCGTCGAGCCAAAAGAAATCAGGGCTGAATCTTGTCCCCCGCCAGCTTGCAGGAAGTACAGAGTAAGGAGGAATGTGTGAAGTACACCACGGGGACGCCATCAGCAATTTCCAGACTGTGGAAAACTCTATAGAAAAAAATGACCCAGTTTCTTCAACAAATAAAAGGGGATCGGGGGCGGGGGCGGGTAGAAACCAGAAAGCTTTAGTTTAGGCGAGCCTTATGAGACATGTCAGCCAGTCACACTGTGCGGACCATATTCAGATCCTGGTACAAGTAGACATTTTTCGGAGTGACATCTACAAGACTGTTGAAAATCTGAACCCTGACCGCTTCAGTTTTGATAATATTGGGGGATTCTTGTTGATCGGGATGGGGGATGGCATCATAATCTTGTGCGTTTTGTTTTGTTTTGTGCGCCCTTATCTTTTAGAGCCACAGAAGGAAACGTTCACAGATGAAACAGTGTTACAGCTGTTACTTGTTTCAAAAAAACGCAGGAAGGGAAAAAGTAGGTGGGGGTGGAGGTGAAACAGGGTTCGCCAAGAGCTGTAACTGTTGAACACTCCGTGGAGGTTCTTTATTCTTACTGCACTTACTTTTGTATAGTGGTTGAATCTTCCATAATAAATGGGTTAAAGAAATTAAAGGGCACCTGGGCGGCTCAGTCCTTTGAGCGTCCGACTTCGGCTAAGATCACGATCTCGTGGTGTGTGAGTTTGAGCCCCGCCTTGGGCTCGCTGCTGTTGGGGCCGCTTCAGATCCTCTGCACCCCCCTCTCTCTGCCCTTCCCCCACTCGCACTCTCTCTCCCTCTCTCAGAAATAAACATTAAAAAAAAAAAAAACAAGAAATTAACAAAGTTGCTCCCTCCAAGAGGGGGTGGATTTTACTTTGTTTTGTTTTGTTTTGATTTGGTGTCACCTGTTACTGACAAGACAGGAGTGAAATCATTGCTTCGTACCTTTCTGCCTCGTGGTTGGCAGGTGGTATCAGAAGCCTCAAAATATTTGTACTGTTGGCCCTGGTAATTACACTTCTACAAATCTATCTTCAGAGAATAATCCCAAACACAATAAAGATGGTGAACAAAAATGCACTTCGTAGCGGCACCTGGGTGGCTCAGTTGGTTAAGCATTCGACTTTGACTCAGCTCAGGACCTCACAGTTCATGTGTTCAAGCCCCGCATCGGGCTGTCAGCGGAGATCCCGCTTCAGATCTTCTGTCCTCTTCTCTCTCTGCTGCTCACGCTCTCTCAATCTCTCTCTCACTCGCGTGCACTCAAAAATAAACATTTAAAAAACAAAAAGAAAAGTGCACTTTGTAGGCCTCTTTATGTTAGGGAAAACAGAAGGAACTCCTGTCCAGCAATAGAAGAATGGTCACAGAAATGATAAATAGACCCCGCAGTAGAACGCCACACAGCTCGTGCCACCATTTTTGAAGACCGCACAGCCGTGTGGAACAATGCTTATGTCATGATTTCAAATAAAAATGTGACTTGAAGTTGCAATTCCTGGTTTCCATTGCAGCCAGGTCAAACATTCAGAGACAGTGGAGCTTTCTTTTCTCCAGGTTTATTCCAAAGTAATCGATCTCGGGGCGCCTGGGTGGCTTAGTTGGTTAAGCGTCCGACTTTGGCTTAGGTCATGATCTCGCGGTTCGTGGGTTCGAGCCCCGCATCGGGCTCTGTGCTGACTGCCAGCTCGGAGCCTGGAGCCTGTTTCAGAGTCTGTGTCTCCCTCTCTCTCTGACCCTCCCCTGCTCACGCTCTCTCTCTCTCCTAGAAATAAATAAAAAAAAAAAACCAAAGTAATCGATCTCCACCACATGTAGGTTTACGGTGTACACGCAAGGTGGTTTGCTGTGAAGCAATTACCACCGGAGGCTCAGCTGACATCCACCGCCTGGCATAGGTGCGCTAAGAAGAAGGGGGGGGGGACATTTCTCCTCATAACGAGAACTCGTAGGGTTTCCTCCGGAAACAGCTTTTACTGCACGTCCTGTAGCGGCACGAGCTGAAGTCATCACGGGCAATGTGACCCGCCCATCGTGGAACTGGACAATTGTGCCCTTAGGTCACCTTCTTCCAGATCCTCTGTCCCGCCCTCCGTCTCTGGCAGCCGCAAGTCTGACTGCTCTTTCTCTGGAATCCCTGGATCTTTGATAGTAAAAATATTGAAAGGAAATACCCCCCAAATGTTAACAGTTTAGAAGGGCCGACTGTGAATGATTATTTTCTTCCTTTTTACTCCAATTTTAGATTTTCTATAATAAACCTATTTATTAGTTAACTTCCTAGTATTTGTTTTAAAATATGAAAATTCACTTCTAATTAAAAAAAATTTTTTTTAATGTTTTATTTATTTCTGAGAGAGAGAGAGAGACAGTGTGAGCAGGGGAGGGGCAGAGAGAGGGGGAGACACAGAATCTGAAACAGGCTCCAGGCTCTGAGCTGTCAGCACAGAGCCCGATACAGGGCTCGAACCCACAAACCATGAGATCATGACCTAAGCTGAAGTGGGAGCCACCCAGGCACCCCTTAATTTTTTTTAATGTTTATTTATTTTTGGGAGACAGAGACAGAGTACAAACAGGGGAGGGGCAGAGAGAGAGGGAGACACAGAATCCAAAGCAGGCTCCAGGCTCTGAGCTGTCAGCACAGAGCCCGATGCAGGGCTCGAACCTATGCAGCACAGGATCATGGGCCAAAGTCAGACACTCAACCAACTGAGCCACCCAGGCGCCCCTCAAAATTCACCTTTAAAAACAAAAAGAAATTCAATATAAAACTTCTAGTATCTTTAGTGTGTGTTTTCTCTGAATTCCATCTTAAGAAACCTGAGAAGTGACAGATGCAGTTTCTTGGTTAAAGTCAGCTAGTCTTTGGTTTTTTTTAGTTGCTTAGTTATCTCTGCTTATTAGGAAAGGGCAGTTGAAAACGGTGGCCCTGTTAGGGAAGGTGTGTTGGATTTCCACTGCAGCCCAGTGAGAGGCTGTTAGTTCCAGTGCTTATAATTACAAAACCATTAACTTGATTCTTTTCTTTCCTCCCCCCCTCCCCACCAACTAGAGTGCACATGGACTAGTCGCTGTTCCTACCTTGGTGGCTTATTGACATCCTTAAATAGTGATTTCCAGGGACACAAGAAGTGGCCCATGAAATGATACATGGCATAGCAATAGTTGAAAGTACTATACAGAAACAAGAGGTTTTTATTAATATTCTCTCAAATGTAAATGTAAATAAGGGCATCTTTTTTTTTACACTGTTTGTAATCCTGGACCATTTTAGGCATAAAAAATAGAGAGAGCCTCTCAGCACTTAGAAGTTATCGAAGGAACCAGATACTAGGACTGTTCGCTGCCACCCAGGACTAGTCAAGGAGAGAGGAGGGTTGCTACTCTGGACAGTTGGTCAAAAACCGCGGAGAACGGGGACGGTTGAGGGTGGCACCCCCAGAAACAGAGGGCATGTTGGGTTGCGGACTTAGGATCGAAGTAGGGGGCTCTTCTGGGTCCATCCTGTGATAGCGGAGCCTCGTCGAACAACCCAGACCGTGGGCCTTGGTCACGTCCTGTTCTCAGTCTGCCTCTAGGGTCTCATCCAGCAAATGAACAGAAGACGCTTAGCAAAGGCTCGGAAGAGTTACGTGAGCCCTTGCGAGAGAGGAAGGTGCCGCTTCTATTCTTAGTGCCGAGCCTGTTCGAGCAAGCACAGCGGGTTACTTTTTCCCTGGTGTTCTAGGAAACTGCACTTTTTTTTTTTTTTTTTTTTTAAGGTGTGTGGGCTTTGTTTTTTTATCTATAATACATGCCTAGTTTCTAAGAGAGTAAAAGCACTTAATGTATTTCCAGGATCGTGTCCCTTTTTGGAGGTAAAATTGAGCTACTTTCCATTTCCCTCCAGAACTTACTGGGTATTGCTTCTCCACTTACTACCAGCTCTTAAAAATAGATCGTTCAGCCAGGCAGGCGTTGGGTGCCTGCCTTTCATCTCCCAGTTGTACTCTCTACACAATCCATGTGTGCACATGGCACCGCGCAATAATAGGAAGCCAAATGCGTTTGCCAAATCCGAGGACGCCAGAATCCTAGGACAGCCTTTGAACAAGATCATCTTAAGACACAACAAAATAAAAGATTTCATTTTATCCGGCAGATAGTAAACATATGGAACTTATCTTGAGGTTTATAAGCCAAATATCTGAATAAACTCGGTGTCGATAGATAAATCGGGGCCCATCCATCCTGAAGTGGCCGCGGGAGGGCCTTGTTGCCCAGGGCTCGTTCATGAACGCTGGAGGATGTCTCCCATTGCTTCTCTCGGGAACAGGAGGGGGAAGTGATCCCTTCTCGGTCACGTAGTTTGCCCAGCTTCCTGCATTTGCATGTCCGAGTGTAAGCTCTCATATCCGCTTACACGTGTTTTGACAGGTGACCTTGGGAAAGGTGTTGAAAGTGATTGTCGTCATGCGGAGCCTCTTCATTGATCGAACAATAGTAAAGGGATATAACGAAAATGTCTACACGGAAGATGGCAAGGTAAGCATTCTGGAGTCTTTTGTTTTGTTTGCCTTTATTTTCTGTATCCCAGAGCAAATGTAGTCAAGTCCCAGATGAATGACATGAAACACCAGCAGTCATAGCCGGAATGATCAGCAGGCGTAGTTTATCAGTAGGAAGATGAACGTTATACGGAAAAACATCTCTCTCTCTCTCCTCCCTTGCATTTTTCATCATGCTTCTGCTTTTTCCTTTAAGCCTCATGCCCTCAGTTGAATTTCTAATTTATCACCTTAGACCCCAGTTGCCTCATTAAATGTGTCTTCTGAGGAAATGGATTTCTTTCTTTTCTTTTTCCTTTTGGCCTAGTCGTGCACGCACATCAGCAGCCCAGGGTTGGGTGTTTTCGGCATTTTGCTTTTCCTAGAACCATGAGGAAAATTTGAGTCTGTTTGACACGTAGCCCGCTCCTGATCTTTCTCCGTGAAACTAACAAGGGGCCGCTTACCCACAGCAGTACACACCGAGCGCGGCAATTAAAAAAAGAGAAGTTACTTCCACGGGTGATTTGTTTCATAGAAAGTACACCCGTGTGAACCCCTAATGTCTGTTGACTGCACACTGTCCATGTGGCTCTATCTCGAGCATCAGAGGACGCTAATGGGAGCTGACAGCCCTCCTTTGTGTTTGCTGCCAGAGCGTAATGAGCGCTCGACGTGAGATGCCCGCCCGGACGCGCCCTGCCCACTCCCTGCACCAGGCCTCTGTCTGCCCCGCTCTCCTCAGCTCTCCCTCTCCCTCACGAATCCCGGTAAAAATTCTAAAGTTTGTTACACTGCTAGCTCTCCCCGTCCAACAGCCACATTGGAACGAGGATAGAATGTTCTTCAGAAAGAGGCAACGAAGGTACTCAGCACATACCGGTGTGTTACACAAGAGATGTGACCTCTCAAGTGATGCGATTTGTGTCTTAAACAAGTGACCCAGCGTTTCCACTCCGCACACCGGTGTTACCAGGGAGGGGAGCCACTCTTACTGCAAGGCCTCTGCCAAGTTCTCAAACATCTCGCATTCCTGGAGGGGAGATTTCTTGTTTCTGTTTTCTGACTCCGTAGAGCAGGTACAGAGAATGACGTGCGTCATCGGGGCCCGCGTGGTCCGTGTGTGTATGATCTGGGATCGTGTGTACGGTTTGTGAGCTCTGGCGACCGTGCTGCCGAGCAGTCCAAACCAGTCAGCTCCGCAGAAGCAGCCCCGGGGTAGCGCGCGCCCTTGTCCGGGAGCCCCCGCGTCGCAGGCCCAGGTTGTTGAGAGATGTGGTTCTTCTTGCCTTTGTTCAAGGTCCGTGACTCCACCATCACAGCTGGTGTGAAACAAGGCCCTTGCCGTCCAGCACCTCACAGGGGCCCTGGGAGAGAAGGCCAGAAACAGAAAGCGAAGCTGTGGTAGCGACCGCGGGATCAGAGGTCCAAACTCAGGAGATGAAGGAAGCCTTGTCTCATGTAGATTCTGAGGAGTGAGGTTTTACCTGCTTTGCATGATCCCTTTCACACGGTGTTTGTTCAGTCGCCCCATTCCGGAAGTGTCCTGAACAAGACCCATAATGCACTTAGGGCCTAGCCACGTCGTCGGGACTCAATGAGTAATTGTCATTCTTACCCTGCACCTAAAACAAGGGGCTTAGAAAATGGTTGCGATTGTGTGTCGCTAGGACTTCTCTCTGGTTCCGCCTCCTCAGGAGCTTCCAGCCAACCCCCACACTGTGGTTCCGCGTGCCCCCCCCGAGGATCGCTCCCACCTTGTGTCTAGGAGGGACCCCTCCTCCCCGGGCGCACCTCACATTCAGCCTTCCTCCTGAAACTCGGTTTCCCGCCGCTCTTCGTCATCGGGGTTCATTGCGCCACCACCTAGCCGCTCCAGCTGTCCTCGCCTGCCCCAGATCTAACGGATTCTGGCGATTCTCCCACTTAGAGCTCTCCTAGGTTGGGCCCCTCCTGTCCGCCCCCCTCCTTCCAGGTCCTCCTTGTTTCTCAGCGGAGAGAGGGTACTGGCCACCTCGCGCCTCGTATCTAGTCTTGTGTCCCTCCCACGACCTGTCCTGCACTTGGCTTCCAGAGCAGTCTTCCCAGAGTATGCAGCCAGGCGAGTGATTCCTTGTCGCCGCCCCCCCCCCTCTCCCCACCCAAAGCAGGCAGGAAAGTGGACTGTTAATAGGTGTTGGACGCACAGCAGGCCACCGTCAGAATGTCTGAGAACCACGGGTTAGAGAAGGTCCAGTAGGTTTCTTGGCTGTAGAAATTCTTAGAAACTCGAGTTTGCTGAGTGTCTTATGAGTCTCCCCAGAGGAGTATAGAGTGTGTTGTGTTTTCCTCGCTTTTTTGAACCCCAAACTCATTGTTTCTTCCTTTACTCTCAGTACGTGTGACACCGGCATTGTGCCGACCCTGCTTCTGACACCCTGGCTTCTAGAATAGAATCCCAACTCCTCGGCGATGCCCAGGAAGGCCGAGCGATGTGGCCCCTGCCTTCCTTTCTGACCTAGCCTGCTGTCCTCCGCGCACGCTTCACCCAGCAGCCTTCTGTGCCGCCGTGGCTCCCACGAGCCTGTCACCCGTCTACACCCCCGAGCCCTTGGCCTGGGGTGCCCTCTCCCCCTTGTCAACCGGACAAACATACTCTGCCCTTCACACTGGCCTCCCGCCGTCCCCTTTCTCTTCCCGTCCCCGTGTTCCCAGGGGCCTCTTCCACGAGCGCAGACTTGCAGGTGCGGCCCCGCGTGTGTTCCGAGCGCAGCACAGGCTGGCTTGACGGGAACACACCCATCTCACTCCGAGCACTCTTTGTCCAGGATTAGAATCAGCACCTCCTGGCTCTGTTTACATTTCTAGAGTGCAGTTAATAAGAGCACTAAGCGAATCCCGTGTGTTGACCTTGCAGGTGTCTTGCTGCGCAGACCTGGCCCTCAGTTGTGGTAGAGGCCTAGGCTCTGTCTGAATCAGCCGCCTTTGCCAGACGAGGAGACTGAGCCCTCGAATGGGACAGGGACTTGCCCGCCGTCGCACCGCAGCAGGTCCCGGACCCCCGCCTGCCAGGAGCACCTCAAGGGGCCGGACTGTGTCCTGTGACTCTGTCCCAGGGATATGCCTCGGGTCGCGGGGAGCTGGAGCAGCCCAGGACTATGCGGGAAGGGATAGAGAAGACCGCGTGGGATGGGACCGTGCTGCAGCTGGGGTGGAGAAGCGGGGAACCGAACCTCAGAGACGAGGACCCACAGACGCAGCAGGGAGTGAAGTCATAAGTAAATTAGAAGATGAAGGAGGTGCACACACCACGCGCGCACACGGCACGTGTCTTCCTGGTGAGATATGAGCGTGGGTTCTCTGCTCCTCAGGAAAACACGAGTGTGTGCCTGGAAGGCTGAATCGGCTGTGATTCATATCACAGATGCAACACCCCAGGCCGCCTGCTGAGTTTTACAACCGTGCGCTTTGGCCCCAGTGGTCAGCAGGGACCCTGAAACCGGGAAGAGCAAGACGGAGAGGACCGAGTCGCTGGTGGTTTTAAAGACACATTAACCTCATTTGGCAGAGGACGCTCTCAGGTGACTGACTGCTCGGCCCAGAATCGAATCCTTGCCAATTTGATTAGCCCCTTCTTGTTTTTCAGAGCACTTTACAAAACCATGCAGACATTATTATTAGCGTTCTATTTTGAGTGCTGATGCTGCTATATGTGAGTTTATATATATTTATATGCACGTAAGCAGTTGTGTAATCAACATGCTGAAATGTCTAGCACACCCCAGACAAAAGGCAACCTTTGGAAGGAGCCATCGCTCACAGCTGGGGGTGTGGTGCTCAGGAACAGATTGCTGCCCAAAGTTCTGCTGTTCCAGACCTGTGGGCCTGCGTTTGCTGAGCTGGGGCCTAGGCGCTTGCCTCGTGGTAATGTGCTGCCGCCTCGGAGAGCACAGCCACCGACACCACGGGTGCAGCCTGGAAAGCCACAGCCTTGCTGGGGCCTGAGCTTCTGCGACCACAGCCAGTCAGCGTCCCCCAGACCCAAAGCAGCCGGGCTCATCCTAAGAAGTTTCATTGTCCCTGTTCTTACAGTAGCGGCACAGCGCTACGACCGCCTCCCCACCCCACCCCCGATTTCCAGACCTGGAAGGTTTCTTCCCATCAGAATCCCTGGAAGGCCATCACTCTACAGTTTTCAGTAACCACCAGCCACCACTACCCTAATCAGTCTGCCTCTTCGCCTGAGATGCGTATTTTTGATACCAAGCTCCAGTCGACGAATTCCTCTAATAAAATACAGAAATGCTTTTAAAACTTACCAACCCGCTCTTCACTGTAAGCCAGGAGGAGCAGAGAGCCATGACTCAGCATGTTAAAAGGCAGCTTTAAGTTGAATACCTGGCCATTGTCCTGATTTTATACCCGTCAGACTTAACTGAAAAAATATAAGTGTCTCGGTTGAATTTATCTTATTAGGGGATTTAGGTTATGTTAATGCAATAGCTTCATTAATTACCCCATATCAATAAAAAAGGCAGCTCTTAGCCTCCTAGTGAAAGAGAGGAAGAGAAATGGTGGTATCAAAGGGAACCTTCAAAGACAGCCAGAGCTGTCTCCAGGGTAATTTCTGATCCCCGCATTCTTCCCACTTCAAAGTGGGATGTGTGTGTGTGTGTGGGTCGAGGGGGCTGGGGAAGCTGGAATCTGATTTCTCTAATAAGTGTTGGCATCAGCCCCGTTTGATATTAGATGCAGGGAACATTTTGATTTGTTATCGCCTTTGAAATTGTTCAGACGACCTTCAGAAAAACGGCCTCTTGTTACTTATGGGGGAAGGGGGGAAGCCAGGGAAGGGGATCCGGTGGAATTCACATGCAGAGGGTGCCCCGGAATTGTGGTTTCTGCAGTTGTGGGTCACACACGTCTGTCCTGATGGGAAGTGAAAAGTTGAAGAACAGCAGACCTGTACCCCCACTCTCTCTGGGAAGACTCGTCCGCCTTTGTTTTCTGCAGGGAGAATGGGCGCATTGAGAAGGCGACCACGTAGAGGCTGCTGGTTTGGAAAACCCGGGCGGCCGTGGGGAAAGGGAGGGCCGTGGCTGGTTTATGGCCCTCCACCCCCTACCGGCGCATCCCTGTTGACCTTGCAGGGTGAAGCTGCTAATAAATAAAAGCTGTAAAAGTTGGAAGACCCTCATGAGGCTTATACGTTTTGTTTGGAATTGTCAATTTTAGATCATTTATAGTACCTTGTACTGTTTTTTGAAACGCAGAATGGGTAACTTCCCGATAAGCTGCCAGAAGTTTTCGATTGCTGCTAAGTGAATTTCAGTGGCGATAACTGTCACCTGAGCAGACCTCATAGCAGATTTGTCTTACTGAACTTGGCAAGAGTGTCCCCCCACCCACCCTCCGCAACAGCCGCGACAGCTCAGGGGTACTGCCATTCGGCACTCCTGGATTCTAGCCAAAAGGCAGTCCTCCTGGTAGAGAATTTTGTACCACATACTCATGTGTGATGTCACACAGGTTACTGAACTTCTCTGAGCCTCGGTTTCCTCCTCTATGAGTTGGGAATGGGTTTATCATCCTCATCCGGATCTCTGGAAGCCTCAGAAAGCTAACGCAGGCAGGTATTATGCGGACCAGATGCATAGCCCTCGGCGAAGGGCGTCTGCCCTCACCGGGTGTGTAGAGATGCCGATGGCGGGGGTCAGCGTCACAGCTGCCGTGCCCACGCCTTCTGATGTTGGGCGTTCTGAGTTTTCCCTTCGGTAAGTCAGCTGATTGTCACCATTCGTATTAGTTGCGTGGCCCTTTGACGTCTTGATGTTGAACCTGAGAGCAGACGTGTCTGTGCTGGAGCAGTTGGTCGTCAGTGAGGTTTGTTTCCATTTTGCCCGAGAATAGAGCACACTCCTGCCCCTCAACTACTCACTGCGACCCCCAGAGGCTGCTCCTGGGACTGCAGATTCAGCCACCAATTACCGTAAGGTTGGCTTTTCCATTTTAAGATCTTTCTAATGCTTGCCCAGAATACCGAGGGGTGCTTTACTTTCTTTCCTTGTCGTTGTAGTTCAGAGTAATTTGCCGTTCATCAGGCTGAAAATTTACAGCCTCCAGAATGCTCCTCCTTGAATATCACAGCCGGTAAAAAAATTGGTAGCCATACCCGCCTTTGCAGCAACTAAGCTGAAGCTAATAAATATTCACTTGGATCCGTCCTGGTTCTCTGAAATGAATTTCTGAAATCTTCCTGGCCCTGAGGAAAGGCAGGGCACGGACTCCAGAACACTCACTTAAATAGCTTTCTTTGGCATAAATCTAGCAGAAAATCTGCCTGCTGTGCCTTCGCAGCAATAGGGGACCCCATTGTCCTCGGACCCCTTTCTTACTGTGTGCACCTGGTACATAGGCTGTATTGTCTGACATCCTTCGGTCCCAGATGGTTGGAGCTATTCCCTAGGGTCCTGAATATATTTAAACCGCCTTTCGAAAAGAGCAGCACACTCACTTTGAATGAGCACGGTGTGTTCTGAGAAGCCACAATTAGGCTGGAGAGTCCATCGCTTAATTAAACTTGCGCGTATTTCTCCCTAGATGATTTCTCCATTAAAACATTCTGCAGCTCCTGAAGAGGTTGGGTTTTTTGTTTTTTGTTTTTTGTTTTTTTTAATAATTTTCTCTTTTAAATAAAAACTGGACCTCTCCAGTCTAGATGCAGCTTCTTCCTTTTCTCTTTTTCCGTGGCCCTCTGTTTGTGTGGCGGCCTGCCTATGTCTGACGGAAGCAGGCAGGCAGGAGGGATAAACCATGAACAGCCTCGGGAGAAGCATCTGGGGGCTTCCCGTGGAAGGAGGCCGGTACCTGCTCCAGGTGAAGACACTGGTGCTCCTCTCCCTAAAATGTGGATTTAGAGTCTCAGGCCTCTCTGTCGTCTTGGCAGTGATTTGGTAGAACTAAGAGATACAAAAAAATCATTCGTATTCATTCTGCCCTCTCTGAATAATCTTTAAGTGCAGCATTTTAAAGCCCCGGGCTGCACTGCGGCCCTGAGAACCCAGCCGGAACCCCACTTCCCCGAAGTACGACCGGCCGGCCGGCAGCTTTCTTGAACAGAA